AGGAAGGAAGGAAGGAAGGAAGGAAGGAAGGAAGGAAGGAAGGAAGGAAGGAAGGGCCAAATCATTAAGGGGGGACTTGCAAAAGAGATTAGACAGAGTCCTGGGAAAGAGGGAAGCGTGAGAAAGGGAGTCGAAATTACCCTGCCTAGATTTGAGTTAGCATAAGATGGGACAGAGAGAAACTTGGAGAGGCTTTCCAGATTCTGCCGTTCTATCCTACAACAGTAAGGTAGCATTCCTTGAATCCCTGCCATGCCTGTTTCTGGACCTGGCCTACTTCAAAGGGCTGGCATCAATCTGGAAATCCTCTCCCATTTCTCTCTGCCCCACCTTATGCTCAACCAAAGCGAGGCAGGTTAATTTTGACTCCCTTTCTCACGCTTCCCTCTTTCCCAGGACTCTGTCTCATCTCTCTTGCAAGTCCCCCCTTAATGGTTTGCCCCTTCCTTGGCCAAGGTCAGCTGTGCCTTCCTTTACAATGGGTGGCCAGAAGACCACAATGGGGAGGAAGCCCAGCCTGTTGATTTATTCATTTGCCAGATTTGCAGCCCACCAAGCAGGAGCTGAAGGGGGCCTACACGGTGCTCCCACCTCCTTTCTTCCTCCCCCTTCTTGATTGGCTGAGAAACACCAGTGACCATGAGACAGCCCACGGGCCACAGGGGTGGAGGACAGGTGACGCTTACCTGGACATGAAATTGGTCAAAAGTCATGACAGGTCCAAAGAAGAAGAAGGGGAGGTAGAAATTGTATTTCAGCAGGGCAAAGACAGAATAATTTCCCTCTGTCCTCTCGCAGTTCTCCAGGGCGAAACTCATGCAACGCATGATGGTGAATCCACTCCCCCCGTAAAAGAGAATATCTTGAAGATCGAAAGTTCCTGTTACAAAGCCATTCTGGATAAAAGAAGACAGTTACCACGCGTATACTAAAGGAAAGAGATTGTCGCAGAATTTTGTCACTAGCCCACACCGACTGCCTGAAGTTCTCCCCCAACCCACCTACCCCCCCATTTCTCCTTGATTCCTCAGGAAGAAAAAATCCCCCATCCCTTTCTGAAGGTCAGGATTCCCCCTTGAAGGGACTGGATCATGACACCTAAGCAAGATCCTCCTACACAGTGTTTCTCAACCTTGGCAACTTTAAGATGTCTGGACTTC